TACTAGAGATCGAAATAGGCATTGTATATTTACCTAAACTATACGGAAGGAATATACATAGAGTGGATAATACCTCCCACTGATATTTCAGAATTATTGTATTGTAATTTGTAATATATATATTTCGAGTTCTTAGGTTTTCGCGATTGATTTGATTTCTTGGGATCTAAATTGCACATATTTGTTTTTTTTTTTTTCAAATAAAATAACACATATTTCGGGCTCTTTACAGGGAAACACTGGCTTGTTTGAGAAAACGAATGTACGTGATCTAGATCCGAAAAACATGTTTCATTACCAATCGTTACATATTTTTACACACGTAACTAACAAAATTGTATTTAAAAGAAAAGTTTTGTGGTCGAAAATAAAAATACAAATTTATTTTTATTGTTTGCTTTAACTTATTAATCATTTCGAGATTTCAGAGGGAGGTATTATTAACTCTATGTTTATTACTTGAAGTTCAGGTAAAAGAAATGTGCCAATTCCGATCTCCAATAATGATACCTGTAACAAACCTAACACCATTGAGGTGAGCCAGATTTTCCATGTTTCGTTTAAGACTGGAACGAATGAATGAAAGAATGGAATTGAATGGATGAAACACTTGTTCTACTTTAAAAACTGTTACTTCTATACAGGGTGAATTGGAATGCCTATATGAATAATGTAAATATAGTTTTAAAAAGTGTACACGTCCCTAAAAAACCGTTCCCCTTTTGTAACGCTTAAGGCTATATATATTTATTTCCCAACCCTTAGCGGTAATAACTATGTAATATACGACACGAGTTAGCTCTCAATATCGCCTGAAGCCTAAACAACTATCGGCAGATGACAACATTTTAATACCGCGTTTGGTTTAGGGTTGACACGGTTTGCACTGTGGTTTTAACAGTTATATTTGAGGACACAAATAAATTTTTTTTTGTATTTTTTTGAATGGTTTTTTTTGCAGATACTTTGCGAAAATCTATATTAATAAAAATGGAAGTACATTAATTTACTACTCCGCGTGTACGTTAAGTCGTGCAAAGTAGCTGCGCTTGTGTTGAGTATTTTTTCATGCAGACAATTATAAAATACTTAAATAGCATAAACGCAATTTCAATCACAGCCACCACCACCCGACGCGTGTTCCACCGCTCTACGCGGCATCATCAGGAGATATTCACTGTTGGCTCGGCGAAGAATTCTTGTACATTTTAGAATACATACTCGAGCTAGTTCTTTCAGTATTAACTGCCTTAAGCTTAAACAATATGTGATTAATCAAAAACTATTATGCAATTTTCAAATTGATATACTAGACGTCACTCCCATTATGTCTTTGTAGAAAAATTTTATTTGTCAAACCGGGGAAAACTTTTTTTCATCGTAACGACCTCGATGGACCAACAGTTAGGACAGTGGGCGAAAGATGCGGAGGCCTTGAGTTCTCTTTTCTAAATTGGTTCTGGTCTGAGTGTTCTGGGTCTTAGCTCAGCGAATTTCCTACTTCGAGACCAGACAATACGTGTAACCACACGTATTGCCTGGTAACCGTCTGGCTTTCTATTTTAGACACTCGCCTCTCCCATGGCCTAAAAGACTAGTTTTGAATGTTTAAATGGGAGCGGCGGTATTCTTCGGCAATAGCACAGTCGACCGGGGTCAGGGATTCAGGTTCAAGAACCGGCGAACATTACGTGCCGTATCGAGCCGGACTGCTTTTTGCATTTGTGCTGGACGTGACATGCTACAGAAATGCAATCGCCTCTAGTTTTTAGCGAGGCTGATTTTAATGAACTCGACGCATTATTATTATTATTTTCTATTTTAGACTCTCACTTCTCCCATAGCCAAAAAGATTGAAATTATTATTATTCTTGTTGTTATAATTTATTAATACAAAGTCGAACACTGAGAAAAATACCTTCGATCCTTCAAGCATACCATGCCAGATATTCTCCCAACTGAGCTAGGGAACCAACTACCAGACTTTACGTTTTTTTCTGTGTTCTTGTTGTAGATGTTTGTGTTGTAAGAAATCTATTTCTTTCCTCAACTAACTAAAGATGTCGCTTTAGTAATTGTCATTTTTAGTTTTTATTGAATATCACGATGTTTTACTACCATGATGTTCAATTTTTTTTGTAAGTTTACTCCACTTGTTTGCTATAATTATGAATACAAGGAACGAGCACTAAGACAAAAAAGTCCTTCGATCCGAAGTAGGTTTTCAAGCATACCGTGCCAGACAATTATTATAACAATATTTTTATATTCTAACTCTTTGAAAAGGTGGTTCAAATTACGTGCCCATGCCAGTGCCGGGAATACATCTGTGGTTCTAGTGAAAAGAGGTACAAGTCAAAAAAAGCTTTAAAAGATACAAAACAGATATGATAATTAAGCGTTAATTGTTTTTCGCGTTTTTTTATAATATCAAGTGACGGGACGAACAAGTCGTGCGCCTGATGGTAAACTACACGCCTGTCCATAACAGATGCATTGCCACTCAGAGCTTTAAATCGCAAAGATTTGAGGGGCACTGCCACTGCGCCCGTCACCCTGAGACATAAGTTGACAAGCACGTGGCACTGTAATTTCACCAGCACCCTTACCGTTCAAAACCGGAACACAGTAATGAGGACATTACTACTTGGCGGCAGAAATAAGTAAGGTGGCAGTACAACCCTGGACTGGAGTTTAAAAAGTTTCCTTGTTGGCTTTTTCGACTTGTACCCCTTTTCACTAGAGCCACAGATATAACTTCTAATAATACGCACAAGATAATTCTCTCTCACAAAACGGAAAACAATAATATCGAAAAGTTCTTGTCGAATAAATACTTCACTATCAGTTTCCCAGTATTTGTGTAGCGTTCACTATTGACACGATATCGACAATCGTATCGATGCCGTTGAAATATCGACACATGTCGATCTCACAACAATAGATCGCGTTGAGTACATCCTGTATATCGGCCAGCTTAACTTTTACCACCGATATAAATACCGAGGGTTTATTCCAGCTGTATTTCAAGCTACTAAAGACGAGTTTTAGGCGAAAAGAATTTTGTCGTGCGAAAGTGTGTTGGTTGTAAGCAAATGTATTTGTATAGGTCCTTGAACTTAAGAGGATAGATAAGGGATTATATTTTGTAATTGTGTTGTAATGATGCTTAAGTACGGGAAGTAGAAATATGTTTCTTTTAGAAATATTTTTCTTTATCTTTACCATTTTATTTTACATTTAAAACTCAGAAAAACTTGCTACATTAATGTACAAGGGTATATATACATTGTAGAGTTTCACAGCTTCGTATTTATTTCCAAATTAGTTCACTCTATCCAATTTCGGTGGCAGTTTTAATATTTGAAATAGTTAAGTAAGTTATCTTGACATATTAAATAATACTTCATGATAATATTGTAGAATACTTAAATAATAACTTCAGTGCACAGTACTAAAAACCGACCTCAAAAGTCATACCCTGCTACCCTTAGAGGCGGAATATAGTGTTCAAATTTAAATCGGACCGCTACTGAGGCACCCTCTTTCCATCAAAAAAGAATAATCAACATGGACTCACAAATTAATGAGCGTGTAAAATACATAAAGATAAACATACAGTCCAATTGAGAACCTCCTCCTTTTTTGAAGTCGGTTAATAAAAACTGTCACAGAAATTAGGTAGAAAACACTAACCTGAAAATGACCCATCTGTTTACAATTATCTATTCTGAGTACTCAGTAAGACTAATAGCAATTGTCATGTATAAAGTAACGTGCTAGACAACAATACTAATTGCCAGATTTCAAACTAGAAAATTCCCTGTTCCCAGACTAAAACGAATCTAGAAAACCGTTGAGCCACCGAAGTTGTCACATATACACATTTTCATATACTATTTTGGTTTTAATTAAATTAAATTTTATAACTGAACTTTAAAACAGGACGTAAATATTTTAAATATTTAAATATTTGCTAAATCCTAAAACATTATCTCCCGAAAAATCTACGAAAAGTCGCTTACGCCCCTTTTTCAAGACACTGGTGATTTATATATGATGTATATTCTAAGTTTTCTTCATATAGGAATAGCGCTTCATATATATATATACTTTACTTTTTACATGCTCAACATTTTGCTATGGGGTTATCCTACCTATAGCGCTGGTTTTCAGCAAACCCGATATATGACTTCTATGGCCTGGTGGTTTCTACAAAGCACCGACGAAATATGGTTTTCTGTATTGTATTACTAAATGTTCAATAGATACCTGTAGATATCGCAAAGAAAATTTCCCCTATTTATTACAAAAGCAACTTTGATTCTAGACTTCCTTAATAAGACCGTAAGGGTTGTCACTTGATAACGAAGTTTCAGAAGTGGCTTGAAGCACCCAAAAACTTATTTACTTAGTAAAAAACCTGCTTTAAAAATCCAACCCAATTGTTCGTTAAAGAGCCTAAAGATCATCACTAGGTTTCGTCAAGAGATATTTTCAACAATTCCTAAACTTCGTGCCTGGCTCAAAAGTTAATAACAATAACGCACACACTCAACAATAGCCTCGTACTGGGGAAACCCTGTGTCGCGGGTGCCATGGACACACACATAGACAACCACAAATTACGCCAAAACTCACGAGAGAAATAAATGTAGGCCATACAAATATTTCTCCCGACCCGGGAATCGAACCTGGGACCTCTGCGTGGCAGTCCAGCATGGTAACCGTTCGGCGTCGGAGGCAGTTGTTCAGTTGGCAGTTCCCATTATACTGGCAGCATTGCCGAGCTGGTCGACAATGTACACTTGCTGAACCAACCAAAGCCCAGAGAGGTGATATAGAGTAGGTTGGAATTTTTGTTAGTCTTTCAGTACCTAGTATTTTGGCCATTCTGACTACGTCAATAACTTTCCCCCATTAAATCTCTTCAAACTACCATCCCAAACTACGCTCTCACCACTATCCGATATCCAAACTAAGTGTAGACTTGCACACAGATATTACGAGACGGGGTCTATCAAGCCGAGAGCTATAGGCGGGTCCAAACCTCGGGTGGCGACCACGCCGGTAGTCCAGAAGATCGCAGACTACAAGAGAGAGTGTCCTTCAATCTTCGCCTGGGAGATACGAGACCGTTTGCTGAGCGAAAACGTGTGCAATAACGACAACATTCCTAGTGTAAGTACAAATATTTGATAATTGCACTTTTAATTTTCTTGCACGACTAAAGATAAGTTGCACCCAGTATTTAGCAACAGTAGAGTACCTTGTGAAAAAGTTCGTTCAGGAAAATACTGCCACTTTACCTGTGTCTCGGGGTGACGGGCTCAATGGCAGTGCCCCTCAGATCTTTGTAATTATTAGCTCTGAGAGGTACTGCAAGTGTTATGGACAGACGTGTCGCTTACGATTAGGTGCACGACTTGTTCGTTCCGACACTAAACTTGGTATCATAAAAAAAAATTAAGAATTAGAAATATACAAAATTATGCTTCAGATTATTCAATATTGCAGTTATAAACAGTGTGTTTTGTAATGCTTCTTATCACAACTAACGTAATCGATATTTTTAGCGACATTGAGTTATTAACATATCTGGAATCAGCAAAACGAACTCTACCACCCCCTATAAGCGGTTTTTTCTATATCTTATTTAGTTTCAGTTGTTTGATTGTTAAGCAAAATCAGCAGACTAGACATTCTTTAAAGAATAAAAAAACTTTTGATGCCAATATCTCGAAAGTTACCATTAGTTAGTTACAGTTCTCAAACTCGTATCTTATAAAGAGTGATTATTTAGGAGATGGCAAAACTACCTATTTATTTTAAATTTCTTATCAAGGGTGTTAATTTGGATACATTACTTTAAGAATAGGTAAAAGTCAGTATGTAAATATGAAGGAAATGTGAAATCGGCCTGCAAAATTTGTGTATACAATCCATTTTTTGCACGTCAGTAACTTTGTGTTTTAAGTTACGGTCTGAGTTTTATTACGTTAAAAAGTCAAATACAGACCCATTTTTTTATTTCTTTTTTTCATAATTGTACAATTACGCTCGTAATTATATAATATTATTAATTGATATCATATGACTTCTGCGCGTTAAGTTTTTGGATAAAACAAATACGTAAGTATAATTTTTCTAATTCAACGGGATTTTGTTGCTATCATAAACTTAATGTACCATATTTCTTTTCAAAAAAGATCAGATTTTGTGCGCTTTATATTTGTAAACATGTCTCAGCATGATATTAAAAGAAATATTTTTCTTAGTTCCTATTATGATTGCAATCATAGTCAATCGTTTTTTTATCCAGCTGTTTTGTAGCTTAAAACCCACTGTGCAGTAGCCGTTTAATTTCGCATGCAAGACAGATTAATCAGCTACCAGCCGAGTTTAATCTGTCAGTTTTTTTATCTGTGCATAATATTTTTACTTGTAGAAATAGACACATATAATTTTTAGTTGTAGAAATAGAAACAGCTTCAAAGTAGATATATATGTACCTAGTTAAACTTAGTTTCATTTAAATTGTCTTTTCAACAAAATCGGTCTTTTTCCGATATCTTTTAAATGTCAATCACTCAATACAAATAAACAATTCACACACATAAGCGATATCGAAACGTCAAAACACTTTCAAATGGATGGATTTAATTAAAAACTCTGCAAACACATGCCCAGCACCTATTGTGTCACACTCAAAATAAGCTGGACAAAGTGTCCTGACAATTCTCTTTAATCCAATTTACTAATATCAAGAATTTCACAGACCCGACCATATGTTTCGAGCCGTTCCATTGTCCGAAAAACCTTTTCAAGATGAACTGTGTGCATTATACAGAGTCCATTTCATTCTGCGAAGGTTATTGATGATAGCTTATAAAATTTTCGGACTACGTTTCATAGTACCGTTTTATTAGGCCTTTGTCAAATTTTACAAATGGTCTATTGAGTTGGAGAGTTCATAAATTTTTGTATTCTACAATATGGCTTTTTTTATTGCTAATAAGCTGTCAATAACGTCAAAGAAACTTATTTTATTTATTATTTAGAAATCTTATTTATTTATTTATTTAAACTTTATTGTACAATACACTAAAGTACAAATGGCGGACTTAATGCCAAAAGGCATTCTCTACCAGTCAACCATTGGGCCAAACAGAAATAGGTTGGTGCTACACTTAAACAAGAAGAACAATATACTAGAAAACTAATCGAAATCTTATATTAGCAAAAGTAATGTTCCTGTCGATGACTAATCAAAGCCAAATATTATAGGCAAAAAGTAGTCATAGGTGTTTTCTGTAATTTATGCATTTACTTTTTAAAAGTTTCTAAATATAAATATTAAAAAATGGAATATATTATATGATAATAAACAATGTCAAATAGGTCTTTGACACATCTCTAAAAGGCTAAGAATACAAAAAAATAATCAAACACACATCTGAATAGAAATGATAATTAACAATAAAAATTATATTCAAATAGAATAAATAGAAATAAGTATATATAAAACTATAATTGCTATGCATAACAAGGTGTAAAACAACCATAGCGACGCAAAATCATATCTTGCGATTAACAAGATGAGAAAAAAGTAACCACGATCCCTATGAAAAATATCACGTACCAGATATTAAATAAAGCTGTGCTCGAAGTGACGCGGTTGGTAATCGAACCAGACAGCTTGAGCGACATCTGCCGAGGCTCTACGAAAAAAAGCAAAAATTGTGAATTTTTTGTATTGATCGAGCCAATTTCTCTGTTAATAATGTCACAACTCCAAAATGGTATTTTTGTGATTCTGCGCCATTCAGTTACTGTAATGTAAACACTTGGTGACAACAATACATGCCACGGGCGTTTGAAAAAAGTTTATTGTGCTGTCGAGTATTCGACTTGGTTTTGTGTGGAGATGTTACTTATTGAATACAAATAGACCGAAATATTAGCCTATGACATTTTGCCTTTATGTGTTGGTATTTATTCTGTAGGTTAAAACTATTGTAGAGCTAATAAGGAGTGTAGTGGTTTTTAAAAAAATATCCTACAACAATATTTACTTTTCGTCAAACATTTTTGCCTTGCTCTTCACTAGATGCGGGTTTTTTTAGAAATAGTATGTTGAGCTGTGTCGGCAATGAAATAAATCTTTGAAAACGTGAATACAGCTGGCGTTACGTCAGATAAAATCTAAGTATAGCTAATCATACTACCTCTAGGTACATTATCCACCCTCCGTGTAACAAGAGGACAAAATCGAAATACCGAAAGCCCCTAGAAGATTCGGCGCCAAAGGGGCTATTTTTATGACTGTCGTACCTACGCACTCGGCCCACTGGGCAAATAGGTGAACGGTAAGGGTGATGCATTTTCACATGTGTAAGAAAGAGATGGTTATATTTCGTGCGTCACGTAGCCTTGTCATAACGGTCGAATGGGCGTGATGTTTCTTGCCAACTGAGAGCGGACAAAAATACGTGGAACAATCGATTTTTGCTCAGGAGCGGAATGGCGTAAGTGCGGAGCTAAAGGCGGATACAAAAATATGGTTTTCTGTAATATTATTGTTTAATTAAATGTAAAGTGTTTATAGCGTTTTTTGCGAGTTATTATTAATTTCTTCTCGGGTACTTGGGAGTCATGACGTAGTTGTTCACAGCGTAAGGTATATACGAGTATATAATATGATGTAAAAAAATTGCACTAAAATACGGAATAATATAGTTGCATACGAAAACTAAAATTAACCAGCCTAAGAAATTGCTTACCACTACACGTAAGAGAGAGCGATGAAGAGTCTCCGTCCTTCAAATTTTCGATTCAATTTTCCGTTGAAGTCTCGGGTATCTACTCAGGAATTAGCATTCTTAATAGAAGTAGAACGGTGGACCACGTAGATGTACAAATAAATCTCGGTTGAATATCATGCCGTGTATCACATTTACAAATTTGCGTTTAGTAAAAGCAATAGTTAGGGTTGAGTGTATAATATCAGAGATGTACAGGTTTGCTAGATAAATATGATTGAATTGTTGAAAATAAAATCGGGTATAATTGAGTTCATACTTTTAAATTTCTCCAAACTTCGTTGTTTTCAACATGAATTATAAAAAAATGTATCAAAGATGACGACATATATATCGTTTTCGTATACGTTTGTGTTGGTTACAAAATCTCTTTATTAAATATTCCTCAGGTATCTAGACACTCGACTACTTTTTGGGAGGAGCCCATTTTGACCATTTAGTTTAAATCTACTTAGGTTTTTTGTCTTAGTTTCGTTTCTTCAATTTAGCATACCTCTATAAGTTAATACTTAGTGATAAATTTATTTCACTGTTCAAAAGGGCAGAGTAACAGATTTCTCTTTTTAATCACAACAGTTTCTCAAATAGACCTAAAAAACTTACGCCATTCTTCTACGCGCGCTTTCTACTATAATATTCCAGTTTACGCGTGAATGCACAGACTATTTGCCATCTCTTTCCCTCTTGTGGTGACGCTCGTATGATCTGCATTGAAGCGTATTGCTTTCCTTGTTCCGCGGATTAACGTCAACGGCTTATGATGGCATAGGAATTGACAGCTCCGGAGTACCTATGTATGGAAATGTGAGGAAATATTAGCGTAGCTCTACATGAATTGTATAGGTTAGGGCACTTGAATATGGAGTTTAAATACTTGTTATTAAGTTGTATTTTGGGGACAGCCTAGTCATCGAAAATTTATTTTATCCACTAATATCATTACTACATTATACTAATGTCTTCTTTATTGTGTAGTAAAGACCCTAATTTTATTTAAAAATAGTGCAATAAGTATGAAATGTCAAGTCAACATTTTCAGAACTGATATGCAATTGAAACACTGACATAAAAAATAAACAACCTATCTCAAACAAACGCCGCGGCTCCAAAAATCGCCAATCAACGGTTACGAACTCAAGCACCGTTAAATACGATTTGGAGACACCTAATTTAAATTTAGAATTCATGAGTTCGATCGAGCGCGACACAGTGGGCCGGCGCGTAACCTGACACCGCCAAAATGCTACCGATAAGCATTTTCGAGGCTTCCTACACGTAAACTGTATTATGTAGCCTTATGTGGGTTTCGCTTTCGTTTACACGCAAATCGTTTGTAATTGGAGATGCTTTTTACCACAC